GCGCATCAACCACCCAACAACCTCCCCCTGCGCGCCACTTCGCCTAACTCCCAAGCGCCATGCGTGTCTACGCCAATGTGCGTGTGTGAGCCTTTCTTGAATGCGCCCTTTCTCGCGTGTTTGTGCGCCTCGCATACGAGCTTGTACCTGTCTCTTAGGCCATGCATGCGTCGTTTTGGCCCCATTATCAGCCTCATCGGGTCGTCTCGACTCTTGGCCCTTCTTGTCACAGGGGTTCGGAACCCACTTCCGTATCATTCTCCTCCTCTTCGAGACTTTTCTTGTCCTCAAGGAATCATCATCGACCATCCAAACATCGGGCACATCTTCTTCGACCTCTAGGGCTATGAACGTAATTTCCTCATGTACGCCCTCTTCATCCTTTTCTTGAACCTCTTCGATCTCGTTGTCTCCTTCGGTCTTGACTTCTTCGAACTCGACCGAGACCTCACCATCGACATCATCCGCGCGCTCGATCGCACCACCAATTACCTCGACGACCTTGAGTTCCTCATCCTTTGCATAGCCCACAACATCGGACGAAAATATGGTCTCCTCGTTGAAAATCCCCGCCAACTCGAACGAGAACATGGGTTCATCGTCGATCTCGATACCCTTGCGCTCGGCTTCTTGCTCGTATGATCCTGGGAACTTCTCATCGGCCTCCGCTTGTTGCTCTTCCTCCATGATCTTGAGTTGTCTTTCATACTCGTCCTTTTGCTCGTACATCTCCCCCAAATAATTTTGCTCCCAAGGGGTTAATTCCCTCTCCAAACTTTCAAGGTATTCGAGATCCTCCCAATCCAAATCAACTAGTGGTGGGTAAGACATTTTTTTTTACTCTAAAAATTCGAACAAAAACTCGAACCAAAAATAAAATAAAACAAGAGAAATTCGGCCCCTCAACAAAAGGTAATAACCGAACAAAAATCAAACAAAGGACTAACAAGATGACACTTTTTTTTAAGACACGAAAAATTGAAAAATTCGAATAGATAAATTCGAAAATTTAAAACAAAAAGAACAAAAATTCGGCCCCCTCAGCAAAAGGCAAAACCGAAAAAAGAAAAAGATAGATAGATAAAGACACGATCAACACCTCTCAATGAAAGCACCAATGATGACAGATCGTTTTGTTATCTATACGGGTTGTGAATAAACGACGCACTCAGGGCCTTCGCTTATCCATGATAGGTGTATCTAACAGACGCACTACGACCTTCTCCTAGATACCGTGACTTCAAGACGCTCTAATGGCCTTCTCTCCGACACTCTATGTAAACACGCACTGACGGCCTTGTTTAAACACACGTTAAGAACATCAGTTCCCCCTCAAGATTGGCTAATCAATTCAATACTCAATTCAACATGTAAAATATGATGAGTTACATGGGGTATTTATAGGTGCATAAATTAAATCTAAGCCTAAATAAACTAGATCTCCTAAATCTTGCAAGAATAGAAATCCTAACACTAGAAAGCAATAAAATCATACTATTACTATAATATTAATTGTCTTGACTTGCACTCCAAGCATAACTTGAAGCACAAGTTCGGCCGCCCCATCGCACCGCCTCACCAATGCGCGCCGCCCACGAGACCTAGTCCTCGTCGGGCGCGGTTTCTTGCGCGCGCGCGCCACGCGCGTGATGAGGATCGTGTGTTTCGACTGCCGATAAGCCGCGAACCCGCGCCTT